TTCCCCGCGGTGATATTGCTGGAATATTGCTAAAAGCGACTTTAAACTCACTCACTCACTCAATAATAGCGACAAAACCCTTTCCATATTCAAACGAAAACTCTTCTAAATGAAGAATCGACTATCGATTCTGACCATGACATGAGCACGCGCTTCTGAATCGCAATCGATTAGTGATCATACCAGATGTGAAAACCCGTTAACCCGCTCCATACAAAACTTGTGTGACTAAGTCAGCTGCTCAACTGAACGATTGGGATATTAAGTTACAAGTCAGTGAATTGCACCGGACATTTTGACACAGATAAACTAGTATCAAATTTGTAAATGTCGTATATGTCTCTACCGTTAACCCCTTTAAAAGCTTTACTGATGCCATTAATGATGGAACCTTGATTAAACAAGTTTGTAAATGTCGTATATGTCTCTACCGTTAACCCCTTTAAAAGTTTACTGATGCCATTAATGATGGAACCTTGATTAAACAAGTTTGTAAATGTCGTATATGTCTCTACCGTTAACCCCTTTAAAAGCTTTACTGATGCCATTAATGATGGAACCTTGATTAAACAAGTTTGTAAATGTCGTATATGTCTCTACCGTTAACCCCTTTAAAAGCTTTACTGATGCCATTAATGATGGAACCTTGATTAAACAAGTTTGTAAATGTCGTATATGTCTCTACCGTTAACCCCTTTAAAAGCTTTACTGATGCCATTAATGATGGAACCTTGATTAAACAAGTTTGTAAATGTCGTATATGTCTCTACCGTTAACCCCTTTAAAAGCTTTACTGATGCCATTAATGATGGAACCTTGATTAAACAAGTTTGTAAATGTCGTATATGTCTCTACCGTTAACCCCTTTAAAAGCTTTACTGATGCCATTAATGATGGAACCTTGATTAAACAAGTTTGTAAATGTCGTATATGTCTCTACCGTTAACCCCTTTAAAAGCTTTACTGATGCCATTAATGATGGAACCTTGATTAAACAAGTTTGTAAATATGTCGTATATGTCTCTACCGTTAACCCCTTTAAAAGCTTTACTGATGCCATTAATGATGGAACCTTGATTAAACAAGTTTGTAAATGTCGTATATGTCTCTACCGTTAACCCCTTTAAAAGCTTTACTGATGCCATTAATGATGGAACCTTGATTAAACAAGTTTTTAGGGTCGATGATCGTTTGACGCAATCTCGAACGTTCGTAAAATGAGGATACTCGCTTGTACCTCTAAAGATGTGGCATGAAGAGAACGATGTCCAATGGAAAGTGGAAATCATATCTCTGTCCCTACAGCCTTGTGTGATTTTGGCTCTGATATAATGAGTCTAATATAAGTCTAATTAGGAAACAGATAATACGGAGTGAGTTAGTGAGTGAGTTTAGTTTTACGTCGCACTCAGCAATATTCCAGCTTTATGGCGGCGATCTGTAAATAATCGAGTCTGGACCAGACAATCCAGTGATCAACAACATGAACATCGATCTGCGCAATTGGGAACCGATGACATGTGTCAACCAAGTCAGCGAGCCTGACCACCAAATCCCGTTAGTCGCCTCTTACGACAAGCATGGGTTACTGAAGATCAATATTCTAACCCGGACCTTCACGGGTCACAGATAATACGGAATTACCGGTCCTGTATTTCTATATCAGGTGGGTAATCCGTGAAAGGTAATTGGATATTTGGCCGTTATTGAACGATATCCGATCATCGATATATCTGAATCTTAAGTTACATTTCTTGGGCAAACTACCCTGTGTTGACATTGCCAATCTGAGTGGTCATTCTAATCACTGCTATGAAGAAGTTGATCACCGAGCGGTGGAGCACTGTTGTTGTCGAGGGAGGTGACGTTTTGCATTCTTTCTTACCCTTAAGTTTTACATTGATGTCATGGATGAGGACGTCCATCGTGTATTTTTATATATTCTAAACATGAACTGACATTTCTTTCATGAGAAATTGCCCTGAACCTCCAAACATATATATGCATCTCTTATCATTATCCATGTGTTCCTTACTGTATTCCATCTACACCAGACCGCCTCCGTGGTGTAGTGGTTAGTGCGTCCGCCCGGAGAGCGGAAGGTTGCGGGTTCGATCCCCGACCGCGTCTTACCAAAAGACATTAAAATATGGTTCTTGTTGCTCCCTGCCTGGCGCTCTTCATTAATGGGTACAACAAGGACTGGTCGGCTCGGAGTCAGTATAATCTGTCTGAGTTGGGTATTCATGCTTCACTGAGGCATGGTATTTCAGTTGGCTAGCACTATAAAAAACCAGCTTCAGTCTGGGCTAGTACAAGCAGCCGCACATACACATACACACGCATGCACGTCGTCATATGAGCGAAATATTCTCAAGCACGACGTAAAACCCCATATCACCTCACCTCACCATCTACACCAAGACGGAAACATCAAGAATGGGCACTCACGTTTACTCAAAGAGTCACACCCGGTTCGAACCCGCGTTCAGGCCAAACCCTTAACACCCGTGAAGATCCGGGTTAGAATTGATCTTCAGTAACCCATGCTTGTCGTAAGATGCCACGAACGGGATCTGGTGGTCAGGCTCGCTGACTTGGTTGACACATGTCATCGTATACCAAGATCGATGCTCATGCTGTTGATCACTGGACTGTCTGGCCCAGACTCAATTATTTACAGAGTGCCTCCATATAGCTGGAATATTGCTGAGTGCGGCGTAAAACTGAACTCACTCACTCGTTGCTCTCGGTTAATGAACGAATTTGGTTTTTGTGGGATAGTTGTGTACAGTTAACAAGTCATCTCCATCATCAGAGGTGAATTTGATACTTTCCCCACCTTGCACAAATTCAAGAAGATGAACTTGTCGACAAAATATACGAATTCAACATCCAATATAATTCCTTTCTAATATAGTTTGGAAAAAACAGATTCTTCGCCGCTGACAACAAAACAACTAAAAACACACATTGAAAGCATGGTTTGATGTAAAAGTAGGTCAATTCATCAAGTAGAATCATGACAAAAACTGGGTATGTACGTTCGTGATTGGTAATTTTCTACATCGTGTTGTGTATCAATGAAATAAAGATTGGTTCCAGATATCACAAACGAACTCATTGTGCGTTTAATGACAACACTGGTTGTCGGCAAACAGAACTAATACTCTCGCGCCATAAACATATCACACAAACGAGAATACAACTTCAATACAAACAAACCTAATTGTACACAGGTCGCGTCCTCTGTAATATACAATATATTACAGTCTTGTCAGCAAGGCAAATGATGGTAATTGGTCGGAGGTCAGTTCTGTCTCATGCAATATTCACCATGCAACGCCAAATGAGCACCGTCATTACAGCTAATAGCTAATGACAGATGAACCTAAATATCATTATCTTCCGTGGATGACAAATGAATTCTTAATGAATTGTATATGAGTGAGTCAGTTGGTGAAATACTGGGCTGGTGAGTGAGTGAGTGGGTTTGAGTGAGTGAGTGAGTGTGTGAGTGGGTTTGAGTGAGTGAGTGAGTGAGTGGGTTTGAGTGAGTGAGTGAGTGTGTGAGTGGGTTTGAGTGAGTGAGTGAGTGAGGAGCAATATCACCATACCACTTCAGGCAATATTTCAAGGTACATAACTGCCCAGAAAACAAAATTCCTCTTTTAGTGAGTGAGTTATAGTTCTACGCAGCTTTTAGCAATATTCCAGCGATATCACGACGGGGGACACCAGAAATGGGCTTCACACATTGTGCCCATGGAATCGAACCTGCGAACCGTGACGAGCGAACGCTTTAACCACTAGGCTACCCCACAGACCCCCATCTTTTAGTGAATGTGTCTCAGAGCCGCTTTAAGCAGTATTCCTGCAAAGTCATGGCGGGTAGTAACACAAATGCCACTACGAGTGAGTGGATCTAACTTGAAAACGGTTTTAGCAACTGTTCAGTAATGCCGGAAAAAGGCGAGACAGCCATGTGGGGAATCGAACATTTCGTCGAACGAATGCTCTTACCACAAGGTTACTCAATAGGGATAATTTCCACCAGTGAGTGAGTATGGTTTTACGCTGACTTACAGCAATATCACGGCGGGGAAAATTGGCCTTACACATTGTAGCCATGTGGGGAATCGAAACCGGGTCTTCAGCCTGACGAGCGGATGCTTTAACAATAAGGCTACACCACAGCCCCTATTTCCCACGAAGAATGTCCATAACACTTACATAAGATGACCTATTCTGAAACTATGAAATCTACATCTTTTCAACTCTAGTGTGTGTTTTTATTCCGTATAACAGATTGCAATTCTTATGATATAAGTTTCAAATTCAGAAACAGTCTATTGTCCATTAAGGGATTTCTTCATAAAGTGCACGTACATGCTTTCTAAAAATAGAGTTCTTAGTGTGTATAAAGCTCACAATCACATCCATTAGTTTCAATATTTTATGCATAAAACGCTGGTTACCTGGAAAACGAGTAATAGATTAACCAGAATATGTGATTAGTTTCCAACACAGAAACTGAAAAGCATAGAAATATAAAAAGCGCTATATTTTCGTTTATCAAATATAAATGATTCAAAAGACTATTGAACATAGGTACCAGCTGGTGTTACTGCAGTGTATGTTCTGTTTGCAGTGAAAACGTACCGATGAATTTCACTTTAAACCAAAAAGTAAATCAAACAAAGTGAAATTAAGATTACGAATCCTCATAATTTAAACCACTAAGCTACCCCACCACCCCTGATACAAGGGACGCAGGTGCAGGGTAGGTGGAGGAGTAGCAACATAGAGGCCTATAGAGGCACAGGGCAGAAACGTGGACAGATACAAAGGTCGTCACAGTGGTCGACGCAAACTTCCCTAAACTTTTATACACACATACAAATATCTTCATTAGCCACTATGTCGGTTTCCTTTGACTCAAAACTAAAGGGGGAAATATACTTTTTATGTAAAGTTTATGAAGAAAATGGTTTCTTTACCTGCATACAATAACAATCTGGCACAGTCAGTCCGTCCCTGAATAGCTGATTTCATCAAGGCTGTGAATCCCAGCTTGTTCTGTTGGTCAATGCGTATAATCTTAAAGTCTTGTAGCAGAATCCGAACAACGTCCGTATGTCCTGGAATAGAAACAGAAAACATAGGTAAAAGTTATTTTAAGTCGCACACATCTTAAATCCAGGTATATCTACAGGATTTCAAATAATGGTATCTAGAACTGGCAAATATATGGCTTATAGTATGAGCAATAATCGACACATTATGGCATGTAAGAACATTTTTATTTGCCGGGTTTTACAACATTGGAAATACATTCTGTCCTAAAGTGAGTGAGTATGGTTTTACGCCGTTTTAGAACGGCGGGAGACACCAGAAATGGGCTTCACAAATTGTACCAATATGGGAAATCGAACCCTGGTCTTCGGCGAGACGAGCAAACGCTTTAACCAGTAGGCTACCTCACCGCCCCCTCTGTCCTAGAACCTCCATATGTCATGTCAAAGTTCAGCTACCATTGAAGGTTGCATCAACGGATTTGTTGTATACACTTTCCGTCATTGTATCGTCAGACAAATCGGCATGCCATTGTTGGAGGATATAAAAGAAACCCTTCGTGAATCTGTGGCACACTTTTCGAGGTAACCCTACACCGTAGATCTAAGTGCACATGGGAAATAAACATTGAGTGCGTGGTTTTTACCGCCGCTTCGAACAGTATTCCACCTATTTTGAAAGCCGGAACTCATGTAGATCTCAGACATTTACAACTCTCAGGACAACTCTCAGGAAGGTCGCTGACATACCTAGAAACAGTGGTTAAAGCTTTCGCTCGTCCATAAAACCATACTCACTCACTAGAAACATGATTGGGGCAAACCAGGATTCGAACCCACTTTCGCAGTCTTTGTGTCCATTGGACGGACCTCACCTCAGACTACTGGGCCATGAAAATTAATAGCGCGAACAAAGAAAAGGGATAAGAATCACTTGTACCAAGACACTAATTACTGGAATAATTGGACATAGGCATAGATTTATTGATTGGATTAGAGAAGGATCAAGTACAAGAGTGTCTGATGCGATGTATTGACCCGCAAACCTTAACACGAACTGCAACCCAGAACAGCTGGATGTGACTATTTCCTTCACGAACAGAAAATAATTAAGGTTTATCTTTGGCTTTGCCAATGAATTGCTCTTCAGAAAGGACGGGATAGGAGAAAGGATGAGATATACAGTGAGGGAATAATTTCACCAGCTAGAACTGAAACATTTCAGAAAGTGAAGAACCCACTGAAATTGTTTTCAGCAACTAGAATAGTCACGTTTCAGGATGGTATCGTTTGAATGAGATCAACTTGCAGGAGAAGTGAAATTGCATTGTAGGCCAACGGTTACAATGACGCAACAATCAAATGTCATCACTTATCTCTCTGCCACTGAAGGAATTGCTGTTTACAAATTACAAAAGTTGTAAGAGTGATCTTTGATGATAAAAAGAATCTCACCCGAGTGTTTACTGATATCAAACCTAGAAAGGTTCCCAGACGCGTGTCGGTATATACATTGAAGTCAATATAACAACATGCATGCTTGGTCATGATGTAAGTCAGGAAATACTATCTGTCTGATATGTTAAAAATAAAATCAACTTGGAATGAATGATCCAAAGCATGCAGTGTTTCTTGGTCAATATTCATGCCGTTTTGGGCTAATTAATGTCTCCAACTTATGTTAACACCCACTAACAAGGAGCAAAAACAGAGTGGAAACTCTCCCAAGGGACGCAGTTCCTCACAGGGATATACGTCTCTTGGACTGATGGTCCTCCCTGTTTCTTTGGGTAACCACCAATCCATCCATATCATACGGCTATATACAAAAGTCAAACTCAAAGTTGTAACACTGATGTTATGTGCAAAACGGAATTCCATTTCACTTTCGCCAGGTCTTTGGGTATCGCTAGGTCCTCGTGGTTTGGTAGACTGTCAGTTTTACCTGAAGTCATTCTAGGTGGCATAGAAGTGAACAAAAAATACTCTTCACTTTGTAAATCAAATTAAGTTTTAGATGATGTTTCGTATTTTGCAGACACTAAGGCACATACGAAGGCATATAAATCTTTCAGTGTAACCGCAGTAACTACTAGTTTGTACGAGATTAATTTAACAGACTTAAGAGCATGGGTGTGTTTCCTACATATCAAGGTTTATAATAACAACAACTGTGAGATTCGAACCCACGACCAGAGGATCTGCTGTTCAGAGACGCAAGCCTTAGATCACATGAGCACCACAGTGCTGACAAGTTCTTGAACTATCAAAACCCATAATGCTATGATGCTCCCAGAGAGATTTATGATTCAATTACATAAACACGCATAGTGTTTTCAGCGTAGTGTTTGGACATGTTACACATGTTTGTGATCAACATACCTCTCTGAAACATGGAAATTGTGTCTGCAGTCAGAATGGTCTGGCGAGTGTCCCGTGGGCTGGATATCGTTAATCTACAAGTCTGAACCAACCGGATAATCATGTCTGGATTCAAAGCTTTTTCGACCATCCTGCATATCCTTTTGGACACGTACACGTCTAGACATGACGCAATTTATCATTATAGTAGAAACATAAGTAGGGTTATTTCCACCAATTATGTTCTTCCGAATTTGATGTCATTAATTTGAAACCAAATTTGGGAGGACGAATATAAAGAGACCATGTCCTTGGACGATAACTATGAGGTTAGCCACTATGAAGACATCAGCTATAATGGCTGCATATAGACTACGATGTAGAAACTATTTTGAAACGACTATTGTGTTAAACACCTCACGATAAAAACAGTGGGAATAGAAGCTAGTAGGACAACAATTATTGTCAAAGGAACTGTTGGTGAAGAAACTATTGGGACTGTAACCGTTGGTGAAGAAACTATTGGGACTGTAACTATTGGTGAAGAAATTATTGGGACAGTAACTGTTGGTGAAGAAACTATTGGGACTGTAACTGTTGGTGGAGAAACTATTGGGACAGTAACTATTGGTGAAGAAACTATTGGGACAGTAACTGTTGGTGAAGAAACTATTGGGACTGTAACTGTTGGTGAAAAAACTATTGGGACTGTAACTGTTGGTGAAGAAACTATTGGGATAGTAACTATTGGTGAAGAAACTATTGGGACTGTAACTGTTGGTGAAGAAACTATTGGGACAGTATCTATTGGTGAAGAAACTATTGGGACTGTAACTGTTGGTGAAGACACTATTGGGACTGTAACTGTTGGTGAAAAAACTATTGGGACTGTAACTGTTGGTGAAAAAACTATTGGGACAGTAACCATTATGGTGGAAATTTTAGCGACAGTAACGACGGGGGTAGCAACTGCTACCACAAGCACTATTGAGTCAACACGTATTGGGCAGTAACTATTGGGACAACAATTATAAGTACAACTATTGGGACACCTACTGGGACAATTATTGAGACATACCACATTTGGAATAAGACAACATTTTTTTTAGAACTCATTATTTTCAGATGTTGGACAGGCAAGTGTTGGGATATGTATATGGGCAACGCCCACAAGAGCAGCAATGGAACACTAATTCTACACCTTTCCTTTATATTTTATGTTTTCACCATCATATACAGTACGTATTGTTTCTGTGTTTACTTCTTATTATTAAATGGTTTACACTAAGGTACATGTTCGTGGAGATGGACCCGGTGGCTACGGTGGTCACTGTTGGCCGTACACTTTACAGTTACAGATGTTATTGAATCAGGAAGTAGGAAGTAACAGAAAACTCGGCTAAAAGATCGTCGATGTAATCAGTGATTTGTAAAATGGAACTAGGGGCAAATGCTCCGAAGCCAGACGAGCTAACTCCATTACTTCACACGTTCTGTGCCATGTGACGGTGTGATTCGCAGCATGCACACAGCCAAGCCATTTCATTCTCTTCACAATGAAATGAAAACAGTCAGTGATCCGACTTAATTACATTCTTTTATGTTTACATTCCTAGAATGTTTTGCAGGCTTTGAAAATCCTTTGCTGAAAATACTGGCTTAATCAAATCTACCGTATTGTTCTATGACTATCGACGCTGATGACAAAGTACTAAACCCGACTACCTAATCTCCTGGAATTGCCTTTAAATGTAAAACCTTTTTGTTTCCTGATTTTGAAGTAATGGACATCCTTGCAAAGCATTAATTCAATGTGATAAAGGAACTGGCGAACTTATGGATTGAATCTAGTTGGAAGACTTTAACACCAACTTATTTCAACATGAGATGGTACCACACGGAAGGGTCGGTTAAAGTTAGAACATGTATCTGGCAAAATATGGTTGAGGCATTGATTCAATGCACAAAGTTATATTTCTTGTCTATAGCTATTGAAAGTGATTGCGTTTAGTTTAATGCCTCTTTTGAAAAGTATTTCAATAAAATTATGGTGCGTACAGGGGACGGACTCTATACTTTGAATATGACGTTTCTCCAGAAAACATTATGACATTGCAAAGCGATTATTATAGTTACGTTGTATCAGTGGGAGTCTTTTAGAGGGACAGACCAAAGCCAACTGACAGACTAGTTTTGATTTAAGTTACTCAAACACAACGTTGGTAGTAAATTATTATTATTAATATTCTATGCCAAATTTATATAGCGCCCTAACTGAACTACTCCTAGATCACTGTAAGGCGCTTCACAAGTTTGTTTTCCTTTGGTCACAGGATGTCAATCTCAAAGGTCACATCGTATTATCAATCTCAACGCCATGAGCCACAAGGCGCACAGAGTTAATTTGGACCTCCCATCCCAATGAAGTACCCATTCACAGTTGGGTGGACTGGGCCACGATACTTTGTCCAAGTTTACTGCACGTAGCTGTACCACCAACTAAGTGTTTGCACGTATTCATGTGACCACCATCTGGTCATTTACCAACGGATTCGTGGGTTCTGTTAAGTGCACAGGGTTGTGCACTGTACACTTGGGGTTGTGACACACTGAAAGAGTCTGCACACAAAGTTGACTCCAACGTTTTTACACCCGGTCACAGGTGGGCTCGATCCCGGCACCTCAAGCTCGCTGGATCACTAGCCTGACGCCTTAGAGAGCTCGCCACACACACGTCAAAACACATGATGTAGATCACAACTGCACAAAAGGTCACAGATTGGAGATGTTATTTCGTTTTTCAGGAATATTTCAACTATATGACTATGTCTGTGTAAATAATCGACTCTGGAACGGACAGTCACGTGGCTGACATCACGAGCATCGATCTGCGCCACTGGGATACATGCTGCAACGAAGTCAGCGGACCTGACTACACAATCCCCTTAGTCATCTCTTACGGCAAGCATGGTTGCAGAAGACCATTCTAACCTGTATAATGACGGTGCAGGTCACAGGCGTAAAGTACATAGATGCTATATCAGAGTTGCATGCCCGTTGTATTTCATAGCATTATAAGACAGCTTATACGATTTTTGCAAAATTAGTCTTCTAGAGGATATATACTATTCCAAAAAAGAGACGCATAGCCCTGAAATCTGTTGCGAAAATGTTGTATTTTCAAACATGTATAACTCGTCCACAAATAGACTTAAGTACATGAATTTTTACATCAGTTTAGAAGAAGGTAATGTCTATACAACCAAGTGGATAATTTTAGATAACGGAGACGTTGAGCGCGATGGTGATCACGCAGCGTGGTCCCGATGTCAGGTCTCCTGGCTCCCAGTCCAATCTCTCTCAACCTGTTCCGTACCGTTTGACCGGATATCCTCCGAAGTCCAGGCACCCTGGCTGCTGTGCTCTCACCCGCGGCAGTACGATCACGAAAATGTAGTACCGGGATGTACCGATCTTGGGCTGCAGTGGTGACTCGAGGTCTGCCTGTACGGGGACGGTGATTTGTTATACCTGTTTGGTTGTTACGAGCTGCAAGCAGTGATATCGTGCTCAGACTAACATTCAGACGCCTGGCAACAGAAAATTGGTAATTTCTAGCGTGCATTCGTTCAATGGCGGTGTTCCGTGTCGCAGCGTCAAGACTTGGCGTAGTGATTTGACCTTGAAACTCCTTCAAAGCGAATGCTGATTTCCGAAAGTAACCTGGATTTTTATAGCCAGACAGTGCATGCTCTTTGCTTCACAATTTCAACTGGAAGGTGATATCTGTTGCTTTGTGGAGATGCCTTTTCAATTCTTGTAAGAAATCTCATCAAAATCAACTTTTTCAGATAAAGTCGATGTTTCACTTGTGCAACAGTGTAAAATCATGTTATCAACACTTTTGTTACATATTTAGACGATTGTTTGAACACAATCGATAATTAATAGATTCTTAAAAAATACAAAACGCCTATGCGTTTCTTTTTGGGGATAGTATATGAACAACAGACTTTGGGATGGAGTGATACTCTGATGTATCGTTAATCCTATCTTGGGAGGAAATGAATCAATGATGCATATATTCCTAATTTAATTTAAAATAACAACAACATATGTAATGATTGTGATGTATCATTACGAATCGTGACAATTTCGGAGATTTGATTAAATCAGTTTCAACCAATGGAATCTTTGAAATGTCACCACGACGTTTCAGCTACCGGATGACTGACGACTCAGTCATCTCCACTAATGCATTGTGCTATTAAAGATTAAATCTTAAAACAAAACTTACCAGGAATAATATATCCGTTACGTTTATGGTTTTTCATACCAAACAACCAAGATGTTATAAGAAATCTAAAATTGTTTATTTGAAAACATATGCTGAAATAACTTTTTGTCCGCTTTTCAAACTATTATCACGAATTCATGAATATTTCAAATTTCCATTCCAATAAAAACGAATTGCTGAAGAGAAAGATAGGGGTCCCGGGAATTTAATGTTTCAATATATTAAGGAATATTTGGAAGATAACTGGGTTTCTTCTCTCCTGGCGATGATAAGGACTCAGTAACTACTGATTTACGTCGTGTCCAGGGGTTTCACTCTAGTGATGTGCCGACACGTTGTACAGAGTCTGGTATTAAAAAGGGGTGATTTTGCAACGGGGCTGTAATAAATGTATCATTATTGCTGATTCGGCAGATCACGGGGTATAAAGAGAATTATGGAGACGACAAACTGCAATTAGTGGAGTCTTCGTATCTTGTGGAGCCTTTGCACAACCCCGTGCTGTTGAGGGAATAACTAAACGATCTCTGACGCCGTGTTTCGGCATATACTAGCTGTAGCACAGCCAGGCCAAACGATGTTTAATAGTATGAGAAATTATCCACGCCTTCTATGTGTGATAACATATGATCAGTCATGATCACGGACTGAAACGACAGTTCTAATAAAAATTTAGTTGTCTCTTGTGGCAAACAGGATTTACCTGGAAGATAATTTTCCAAAGAACATTTCTATATGCAACTGGTTATTACACCAAGGGTTTCCTGAACGTTTTATGTCTACATTTTATTTTGTTTTAAAAACATTTTTCGCCACTCTCAAACTAATTTGAACACAATTGTTTCCGCTTTTAGCAGTGTTCCCACAACATCACGGTAGGGGAAACGAGAAACGGGATTCACACAGTGTACCCTTGTAAGGAATCGAACTAGAATCTGCAGCATCACAAGCGAAGGTTTAACCGCTAGGCTACCTCATCTCCCAATCCTTATTTGATTTCCAGTGCGCTAAAATCATTTCTTTCTTGGTTCAACTTTGCACTTGGATAAACATAAGTACCCCTCTAAAGGACGCCCTGTCGGTACTGCCATAAGTTCTGGCTGAAACGCCAAATTCCAATATATGCTATGATAAATCGGTTATTCCTTCAGTAATGCAGATGATAGTCATCATTAAACCGCAATCCGCTACTAGATCTCAATACTTTTTGGGCAATTTTTAAGCATTTTTCTCTTTAGCATACCGTTGAAGGAGTTGTTAGTTGACTGCTAACCTCACCAGTCAATGTGATAAGATAACTACTGACATCAAAATGGAAGAGATACGTGTATTATGTAAATTATCTTATTTAAAATATTCATATAACAGGAAATCAAAAGCTCATATCAACACACGATTACAGCTCAATCAACACAGAAAACAGTCTGCGTGTGATGATTAAATTAAAATACCTGATAAAAGAATACTATAACAATAAGTCTAAAAGAGCAACATACCTGCTTGAGAGCTGAATATGAGAGGGGTATTTCCTTCCTTATCCGGAATATTGGGATCCACTTCCGGTATGTCTACGAGCATGTCAAGTACTGGCACGATGCCATGAGCGCTCGTGTGACTTAGCCCTGTCTGAAATCACAAGATCAAATCTTATTGGATGGTGAAATGATGTCAGACTTGAACTGGTTCGGTCCATAGAATGTTTGAACATTTACATTGTGTCCTCCTGAGATGAAAAAATAGATACCGACCATATCCTTTTCTTTGCATGAGACAGAGACGTTCAATTAATAGGCAAACACATTCACATACACAGACACGGAAAGACACCCTCAGACATATAAACAGACCAGGCCCGTCGAAAAAAGACTTATAAGCCCCTCAAAATTGCACGTGTACCGAACTACATTAAGAGAATATACCATTTGTGAACACGCTTTAAAGCTGTAAGTCAATTACTTTGACAGAAGATGGAAATTCCTTTAAAATCAGTCGCTACAATACTTGAATAGTTGGCGTGTACACCAAAATTTACCTATGTTACCTTGATGCCGTTCAGCTCTGTGTACATTTATTAAACGTTCCATTTCAAAATATAAAATATCTATAACGTTCTTCCTACGTTAAACGACAAAGTTGCGCGAAACAAAAATATTGATCACATAGAAATACATGCAGCTCAGCAGACATGTTTTTTTGAAACCAAAAAGAGAATTAGGCTTTGTGTTTTTATTTTCTTAAGCAACACATACATGTTTCAGGAAATCATGCTATGTTCTTGACATACTAGTTACGACATGATCAGAGGTCAAGGACACTGAAGAGGAGTCATGGTGACCCTTCGAGAAGACAGTCGAAGCCTTTCGTGCTAGACCGTTATCAGAATTGTCTGTGAATAACTTTACACAACGATTTTAACAGAAGACCACTATCCACACCAGTAAGATGAATGGCGCTGTCATTATTGTACACTTAGCTATGTAATTATCATCTTGCATCAGACAAGAGATGTTTACAGTAACATAGCAACATCTGGAACAAAAGAGATAAAACACAAACGAATGTGAGATGAAATCCCCTTTATCCCGGGACCCTTCTAAGTTTGAATTTACGAATAAAAAGATATCTAGTTATGGCCCCTTAATTATGCATAGACATTGGGAACATAAGAAGTTTATGTTTCCGCGCAACGCTAAGCGATGACTTAGCTTCGCGCCACAATAACAAGCTAATTTCCATATCACGTGATACCTTCCTCGTCAACTAACGCGTTGATTCTGAGGCCATAGCAGTCCGACCTTGCGTAAACCTTTCGGTGCAATTTACGTATCCATCTCCGGCTGACCCTAATTCACAACTATTCCCAAAATAAAACAAAAATATTGTTTTTATCCTCGCCGACTTAACACGCGAACCACCTGAATTTTATCTGAGCCAAAGCAACCAAGAGGAACGGCTTCAGGAAATTACCTTACCTGCGCTTTTGCTTACGCGAAAGTAGAATAAATTTCATTAAAATCACTTTGTCAAGATTCAAACAGGACGAGCGAAAATGTGGAGATGATTACATGAAACAAGGTTGCTTTTGTTTGATCCATATTGGACACACACTAAACATAAACGGTAATCCTTGATCATTTGGTTTGTTGTTTTACGCCGCACTCAGTAATATTCCAGCTATATGGCTGCGGCCTGTAAATAATTAAGTCTGGACCAGACAATCCAGTGATCAACAGCATGAGCATCGACCTACGCAACTGGGATACAATGGCATGTGTCAACCATGTCAACGAGTCTGACCATCTGATCCCGTTTGTCGCCTCTTACGACAAGCATGGGTTACTGAAGACCAATTCTAACCCGGATCTTCACAGGTCGATATTCCATGACATTAGCTCCGTCTTTAGAAAAGCTCACCCTTCCAGATCTGTCTCTTTCATTGATTTCCTCCTCTGTCGGGTTTTCGTCAGGATCGCTTGCACCGCCTCAATGTCTTGTTCGATGCATGCTTCGAGGAACGTAAGGTCCTCGTAGCCGTAGGAAGAACCGTAGTAGGATCCTTCGTCGTCGTCGGCATCCATGTTCATCTCATGTACATCTGCAAGAAACACAGGAGAAATAATCTCATCATTCACCTGTTAAGATACTAGTCCGGACAGATAACGCTACAGTAACGTTTGATTTGCCTTCAAAGAAGAAAGACTAATGAAGGGATTTATCGTTCTTGAAAAGCTATTGAAGTTAGGTGGGTCAGGGACAGTCACTAATACGAGAATCCAATAATCCTCCCTCCACAAACAAAGTGTAAAGGGAACAAAAACATCTTGCTTGATGTCGGATCTAGTTGAAAGGACTTTTCTCTCTCTTCATAAACTATTTATGTCATTGGGTCAGGGTCGTCTCCCTTGAGGCTTTCCATACAGTAACACCTTTATCATGTTTCATAATGCCACATGTAGTGATACTGCCAATGATAAATGACTATGAAGCTTGTCTAGAAAGACACATGGTGTTAATAACATGGGGAATCAATGATGATAGTTTACAGTAGTGTTTCCTGGAAAGTGACTTTGTCCAACTTGTGACAATGTACGTCGCGTCACAGAGGTATTGTCCATACATTCTGATGAAACAATGAGTGTATTGAATAAATAATGTACACCCAGTAAGATGATTGTTAACCTTCTAGTGCCTAAAGCACAGCGTGGGTTGTATATTCCCCAGGGAGCTGAGAATGACAACCGAGCTCATTCTGATAAATTGACCGGGATAAATATTTAAGGCTTGATTATATTTTAGGGTGCGTGCTCAATGCATTATATATGTGCACATTATTACAATATGATGAATATCAACAGTATGTCGTACAGACCACGAAGGAGAGACAAATGTCGGAGAACGTCCATTGAGGACCGTACGGTTTCTTGCCTATGTGTACAGCCAGTTCAGTTTAGGTCACAAGTACAAGAAAGTCTACACAACCAAACTTGCCAATTACGTGTATATCTCCACCTCTCTTACCTAACTTCACAGCAACGTCTTATGGAGGTAAAAAGTGAGGTGCAAAAACAATAAACAAATAAACAAACAACCAAACAATCATTTTATTTCAGCATTCAGAACTTAGGCCCCCGTAAAGTTAACCGTGCAACAGCAAATAGTCCCAATTGTGAAGATCGGACTCAGAGATTTGTAGCATTTTTAATGTAATTTTAAAATGTTTAAGATGCCATGTATCGGAAAACTGCAGAAGCGCTATCAAACTATCCCAAATATAGTATAGAAATGGGAAATATTTTGAACGAATGTTAACATATGCGTCGCATATCAATACAAAATTGATTTCATTTTCAGTCACACGTAAATAGACACAACCATAACCTATGTTATATTTGGGACTAGACTTTCTCAGTAAAGTACAGATCTTAGTACTTTTGGTAGGTCGAGTCAGATTGGAGTCAGGCACCTAATCGCCATCACACATTCTGAGCAATACCTCTACAAAAGTACATGTAGAATCCCTGTCAGATGTGGCCCATAGCTGTCACTCTTCATAATTTGCCTCCATTTCTAAGTACTAAAACTTCAGTTTAGCCGAGGTTAACTTCAGACCCCATATGCTACAAAATGTTTGTAAGACATCTAATGCTCTTTGCAGTTTGAGGACTGTAACTGAAAAAAACCCATTCACATAGATAGTAGCATGTCATGGTGGACAAAGACTTCTCTACTTCCAAACTTATCATTCTCTAAGTTGTTAGCAAATAGTGAAAACAAAAGGGGACTTGAAGTGCAGCCTTGTTTATCACCACTTTAAGAGCTCTATAGAACCGACATACTATTTTGGATTTTTTTTATAAGTATCCTTTTCTCATGAATACCGTTCGAGTAAAGAACAAAGAAGCCCCCTATTAACCGAATCGAAGGCCTTCTGGAAATCAATAAACAGGCTGCAAAACCTTCCGTTTCATTTCGACATATATTTCTGAACTAGAGAGTGTTGTATAAACATATTGGCAACTGTAGACTTGTCCTTCTGGAAACCTGCCTGGCATTCTGGAAGTTTGTCATAAAATTCCTCAAACTATTTCCATGTTATATAGAGCCAGCGTAAAAACCTTGCCACAAATGTCCATAAGAGTGATGCCTTGATATTCATTTACATCATGGTCATGATGCGTCATTACTGTACTGACTAAATTCCGGCACAAAGTCACATTTCGATAGTCATCTTTTCACACACTTTTGCCTTTCGTAATCAGTATATTTACTCAAAAGTATTTAAGTTATATTAAAGCTGGTGGGGTAGCCTAGTGGTTAACGACAAAGGCCCATGTTGAATTCCTCGCGTGAGTACATTTCTGGTGTCCCCCGCCGTGATATTGCTGGACTATTGCTAAAAGCGGCCTAAAACCCAACTCACTCACTCACTCACTCATTGCACCTGACTAAATTCTAGCCCAAAGTTACATTTTGCAAATAATCTTTTCACACACTTTTGCCTTTCGTAATCAGCATGTTTTTACTAAAAAGTATTTCAATTATATGAGGGGCGGTGCGATAGCCTATTAGTCAAAGAGTTCGTTCGTCACTCCAAAGGTCCCTGTTGCATTCCCGACGTGAGTACAATGTGTGAAGCCCATTTCAGGTGTCCCTCGCGGTGATATTTCTGGAATGTTGCTTAAAACGGCGTAAAACCCAGCTCATATTATTCAATTCAGTTATTTTAAGACATGGATAATCTCAACAAAAGTAGCATAGGTCTAACTCTTTAGTGAAACCTAAAGGAGAACATCTATGGCGGTGAGTAGCAGGTCACACAGACACACAGTCACACAGACACGCACACACCCAATTAAGATCCGTGACACATACCACAACAAATAACAAGAAAACATTCAACCTACCCATTGCTTGATCGCCCTCTGAATTAGACAGAATGGGATCTTGTGCCCGGAACGACATATTTGAAGGTGATCGGCGACGGTCCCTTATGATTAATGAATGTGATGGAAAAAAGACGTGTGTCTGAGTGCTAAGGAACCCTTACGATTTATATAACTCTCCCTTTGCAACATCACGTCACCATGGTAACTGGTGTAGTATTTCGCAGGAAACCCCTTATTTTATTAACAGCTTTCTTCAATTGTTTTTTACATAAGCTCTTCTTTTCCTGACACGTACCCAAGCCAGTATTCTTGGTGACCATCATCCGGTGTGCAGCTGAATCATTGTGACCAGTATATAGCCAGTATTCTTGGTGACCATCATCATCCGGTGTCCAGCTGAATCATTGTGACCAGTACACAGCACAGCAGCCCAGTAAGACCACGAACAGGAACACTTCATATGGCCACCACTACATCAATGATTCTAATAAAGTCGAACACAGGCGTCAAAACAGGCTTTAATGTATGGAGTGTGTGGCACATGTATTTGAAAGTAAGTAAGTAAGTAAGTAAGTTACATAAACGCAGCTTTCGCCGAGCTCACATGCCTACGAAACACCATAGGCGGATCCAGGATCTCACCCTTGGATCCGCCAATGAACACTATATTTCACAATATATTTGCGGATATTTCGACCACGGTGAAAAATGAAAAATGTATGCATCGAGTCCGGCCTTCAGTTGACCACAGGAGAAGTGAGGGCTATATGAGCCACGTCCCGCTGTTGGTTAAGCGTTTGTTACAGTAACTTAAAACGAAACCCTATTTCCCGTTGTAACACTTTTATAAAATCATATCACGGAGTCTGAAAGACAGTTGCTTTGAAGAATGTGTACGTTAGATCATAGAATGTTAGCATTCGACCGATCAGTTAACAAACACATTTCATAATGGAGTTGGGGCGGTGGGGTAGCCTAGTGGTCAAAGCGTTCGCTCCTCACGTCGAAGGCCCGGGTTCGATTCCCCACATGGGTACAATTTGTGAAGCCCATTTCTGGTGTCCCCCGCCGTGATATTGCTGGAAAAACGGCGTAAAACCATACTCAGTCAGTCAGTCGTAATGGAGTTAAAACTGAGCATAACCGACATTCATCTCAACGACGGCTGTAACTGTTTTAGATCGTTTTTCTTTGGTCTGAAGCACAAACCTATATTCAGAACCTCCCCCAATTCCCCACAAATAACTAAATTATGGTGAAAAATTATTGAATAATTATTTACCCCCAAACAACAACAACAAAACAACCCCCAAAAAAAACAACAAAAAACAAAATAAAAACATAAGGTAAAGGTATTAGTCGGGGTAGATGTTGCATTGTAGTTTACGTTGACAGGCGTGTGTGATTATTCAGTAGGCAGCTACTTGCAATCGTCACTGAAGGACGACATCCGATCCAACACAGCCAATATGAACTGATATAATTATTCAAACAACCTGAATATGCTGTTTCGACACTATACATAGATGAATAAATTATTGAAACCATTTTATAGTTGATATCAAAAATATTTTTTTTGCTGGGGTGAAACTACCCCCAAACGGGGTGAACGTGTTGAGGTGAAACGACTATGGGTGAACGTGCTTGGGGTGAAACAACCCGGGTGAAACGACTTGGGGTGAACGTGTTTGGGGTGAAATGACCCGTTACGAATTATTCAACCTAGTGCCGCAACCGCAAATAATGCAAGTCTTTACTGAGAGAAAACTAAATATTCGATTCGGTCCTTTCGTGCCTTTCTGGTGTCACCCGCAGTGATATTGCTGGAATATTGCTCAAAGCGGCGTAAAACCATACTCACTCACTAACTCTTTCGTACCTATATTAGGTCAGCTGTATAGCGTCATCACGAACAATTGGTATTATCATCTGATTCATCACGAGCTAACCGTATTTACATGGGCTCAGATGTCATCAGGTGTATTTGTCAGTGAGAACACATACCTCCTCGTGAGCGTGATGAATCACCACGGACACCCGGTGTCTCGAATACACATGTCACCACGATAATATCTCAAAATGAACACATGTATCATGTTCAGTGAAGATTCAGGTTAGAAGTCTTTATTCGGCAACCCATGCTTGTCGTAAGAGGCGACTAACGGGATCGTGTGGACAGGCTCGATCGCTGACGTGGTTGATGTATTTC